ATTAAAACAAAAGCGATCGATAATGATCGATAGTGATTAGCAAAGGTGCATAGAAGGAATGAGAAATGTACGGGGGATTTTATGAAATGATTGCAGTCAAGGTTGCTTAGAATCAATTGTAGGTTTTTATTTCTAAACAAACGAGTTACTAGTTTTAGAAAACATAAGACTTTTCCCGCTCTTAGTATTTTTTTTTGTTTGAGCTCTTACAGCACCAGCTAAAGCGTTTGCTTTTTCCATCATATTGTAAACTCACAAAATTAATTTGAAACGGAGAAATTAAGGCTATAATATAAGCTTTATGCATATGACTTTAAATATTGATAACTTCTGTAAATTTTTTAAATGATAAAATCTCAACTTGAGCTTCACCAGAAATTCGGTTTTATTACATAGTTACTTTATTGATTCTGACTCCTTCCTTTGAAGCACTGTGATTGGTTAGCCACGCCTACTTTGTTAGCACATCTAAAATTGGATTTTAAGTAGATCTCTCAAAATTGCATATCAATATCTTTATAAAGATTTCCTTTCGTCATTTTTCTACGCAGAATCCTTGCATGACCAATGCTTTACAAATTTGACAAAAAACACACTGATATATCACGTATGCAAAAATTTTCTTACATGCAAAATTTATCACCTAACACTGAGTCATCATACTAAAATTACCAGACAATTTACGTTTTATTTATTCAACAACATGTGATAATCTAGCAAATGTTAGTTTTTAGGAAGTAAGCTTTGATAAGCATTAGTAACAACTTCATGACTCACTCATGCCCAAATCGTCTAGAAATTCATGCGCATTAGAAGAGATGAGCCTTAGGATTAATTGGGAAGAGTTTTGCCTGGATTGGACTTTAGTTTAGCTCTAGGCAGAAGTAGCAAAATGTACATAGCAAAGCACGAATGTGGCATTTGAAAGCACGTTAGGATGTAGTCCTTCTCTCATAGCAGAAGGATCTTTAAAGGGTAGCTTTGTCTTTGAGAAGTCGGAAGAAACAGCTTTCAAATCTGCATACGTGTCATGAGAAATGTCGCTGAAACGCAGTCATGACGTGAAAACCATTAATCTCATAAAAAAAGGTTATTTTAAGTTGTTTACTCTGTTTTCATTGAAAATTATCCGATCATTCACTTAATCACTCATTTGCTTATTCATTCATTATTTCAATTTTTATCGCATTCATACATATTCATCTTTTCATCCCTTTTTAATTCTATTCTATTCTAGCCATTCATTCGTTAATTCATGCATTTAGTTGATTATTCATCCATCACTGATTCTCTATATTAGCTATTCATCCATTCATCCATCTATCATCATTGACTCATTTACTCATTCATTTGATTAATTCAGCAACAAATTCATTCGTTCATTCGATATTCATACCATCCAATCTCTTCATTTACGTATTTACTCAGTGCTAGTTCAGATACTTCAAGTTTAAATGGATATAGCAGTGACAACTGTCCAGCTTCATATTTGACATAGAGCAATTTAAGGTTGGTCTTACTTTTTTGAGCTTCGGATCTACTTGACTTATTCCGTCCAATTTTAGATGAATGATATTGGTGGATGTGATAAAACAGCCTATGGATGGCATCCATTAAGTCCAGATGGTGCCACAGATGACGCCACCTACGCAAGTGTTGTCAAAACGGAGTTTCCTCTAGATGACGACATGTTCGACATCAGCAAGGTGATATTTGTTCCCTTAATTTTAACGAAAGACCCGTACCACGTGAAGAACTTTTGGGTAGTTAGATTAGAGCTTATGGCTTATCAGTGGCGCTC